GTGTGGATGTTTCCTTTTTTCTAGTATTTTGCGTTGCTGCAGTATATTTGTACATCTTCCAACAAAATGGATGCCCAGGCAACTTTATCAAAAATGCCTGACCACTCAACCTACTATAGCACAATCAACACAAGCTATGAAAAGGATAACACTACCATACATCAAAAACATCTCAGAAACAACTATCAGACTATTACAACCACACAGCATCACCATATCACACAAACCAGCTAAAGCCTCCCAAAACATCTTAAGTAAACCGAAAGGCCCAGTAGCCCAAGGAGAAAAAACAGAAGTCATCTACAACATACAATGTAAGGACTGTAACAACCACTATGTAGGACAGACAGGCAGAAAACTAGCAGAGCACATCCATGAACACCAACTAGCAGTCAGAAGACATAATGAAAATTCCTTAATCTCACAACACATGGGCAGACTCAACCATAGTAATCTATGTTTCTTGACAGAGTGAACTCTGCATGAGAAGTAAGCTTTGCTAATACAAAACATGAACGATCAAGAAGAGGCCATTTCCTTGCTAACAAGGAAGATTGCTTAATTAAATATCTCACAGTGATATCAACATTCATACTACCTTTACATTTCTTTTCCTTGAAAATCTCATATCAAAGCCTATGTTAAAAGTATATATTTATTATTGTGTCTTCACAAGGACCGGTTCACTCCAAAAGGGGAACAGAGGCTGGGAAACGCCCTCATTTATTTAAATCCCAGTTCGTCATTAAACTGAAACACATTTCATTAAAGACTGAAAGACAGCTATGTTTCTGAATTTTAAAAGCAGTTTTCCTACCTGAAAAGTAGAACTCCAAGATATATTCTTTAGATTCTGTACTTCATTTTAGCTTTCTGCTAGACCTTTGTCTTTTGCCTGAATTGTTGACTTTCATTTTCTAATGCTCTGTATAGAGAAAAGGCGGCAATCCACACCTCTTTCTCTAAAGTACAAAGGTTGGTTTGTACTTCGTTCTTTTAGCTCAATGGATACTTTTAAAGTTAGTGCACTTCAAGCAATTTATACATACTTTGTTCATGTGTGTTTCTTCACCAGTTTTTGCTTTGCTTTGTTTGTCTAGCCTAGTCTATAAATGTATTTATTTTATTTTTAAGAAATGCTTATAGTCCATCCATTATCTATAGGATCTTTTGGTGGGTTACAGACCATAAGAACAAGATACAATAGAATAACAAAAGAAGTAAAATGAAAGACTACAGTAGTTAAAAACACAAATTAAACACATACTGTATTTATTGATTTGATTTGTATTCTGCCTACTTACTCTAAAATGCCCTCAGTAAGAAATAACACTAACAGAGGTACTGTATATCAGGGACAAAAGATATGGTCAGATTTTAATGACCATGTCCCATATGTAGAGTACAAAGCCAGATCTTCACTAGTATTGAATGGCAGATATTGTCAGCACATACCTGGCTTCTAGGCAAGGGCAATCAAATGAAGGGTACCAGAAAACTCTTCTGTTTTCTGTTTTCTGACCTAAAATGGCTTTCCTTGTTGAAGGATGAAGGAGGCTTCTGCTCCAAATTTTACTATTTTTGCAGAGACAAACTGGGGAGGTGCTCCCTTAAGGATTAAAAGAACAAAGAAATTGCCAAAACAGATGGATTTTTATAAATTGCTTTTTAGCAAGGAAAAATTTATTTATTTATTTATTTATTTATTTATTTATTTATTGAATTTGTCACTGCCCATCTTGTTGAAATGACTCTGAGCAGTTTACAGCAAAGATAAAATTAATTAAAATACAGTCCTAATAATAAATAGCTTCCAAGAAAATCCTGAAGTTACCTATTTAATTGCAAAATCTTGTTCTTTAGCAAATAGGGTGCACTATATTAATAGTGGGGCAACAGGATAAGAAGGTCTGGACCCTGATATGTTGAATTGTATAGACATAGTATACTGTTCTTATACTAAGTTTACGTGATATGTTTGGCTTCTGATATCTGCATAGTAAAGGTTTGTTGTTATTATAGCCAGGAATTTGCACTAGACTTGATCTGATTTAAGTGTTTCTGTGTTGTGTTAAGTCTTATTTTTTTTATCATTGTGTATAAGAGAAGATGGGACACAGTGGCACAATGGCTTAATGATGCTGAAAGTTGCTGGCCAGAAATGGTCGACACTTCAGCGGTTCGAGCCCAGCTCTGTGCGGCAGACTGAGCTCCTGTCTCATCCCCAGCTTCTGCCAACCCAGCAGCTCGAAAGCAATGGGTACTCTCACCCTGGTGGGAGGAAAAATGCTGGCGGTGCCTTGCACGGAGACAGGACCAGTTGCCAGTAATGCGGAAGTCGCGTATGCCCGAAAACAGCGTGAAGCAACGGAAAACCCCGTCTCCTGCGCTCGCCAGCTGGGCTCCGCTCTAGGAAGGAGGCAATGGCAAACCACTTCCAAAACACCTTGCCGTGAAAACTGCAGGGACTCGTCCAGGCAGTTGCTGCAGAATCGGCCCCAACAGAGTGCAGATAAAATAATAATAATAATAATAATAATAATAATAATAATAATAATAATAATAATAA